CTGACAGCAGAGGGTTTAGACACCGTGGACTTCTGTGGCCCTCACACTGCGTTCAGCCTGAAATGTAAAAGCAAACAAACTTTCCTTCATTCAGTTTAAACAGTATTTTGACACATGAGCATCATTTCTGCAGATTTAATTACTGTAATTCCTCTAACTTTAATTCATACAGGTGCTCCATGAGTTTCACTCCCAGATAGAAGCCTTGGTTGTAGACCAGTAAAACCAGTTCATCACTGGGCTGATGTCAGGGAGTCTCCTAAATGTCTCAACACATTCTTTTTGGAGGCGGGGCTTGTTTTGCTTGATACCTTGGAAACTTGTCTGTTGAATTGTGGAGTTAGGTAACATCTGTCAAACAAACTCCATCCATCCATTAGCTGTACCTGCTTCTGTCTTTCTGATCACAGACTATAAGTCAGTCCGGAGCATCAGTGAAAACCTGTCACAGTTCAGGTGGTGGTCCATTACACTTCAGTAACAGCTCTAGTGGGTGGGGTCATRCCTCACCAGCAGGGGGTGCTTATGCTCCAGTATGCTGTTTTCTATCCACCATTAAACAAAGTAGAAGACCCTGAAAAGATGMTGGAGGACATGGTAGAGTTGTTATTTGCAGCTGGTGAATCAAGTTGTTGTAAGAGTAGCAACCAGTGACTCCGCCCCCTAACCAATCAGTGACCAGTAATCTTCTGATGTCACGTCATCAGAACCACAGTGAAGTAGGTTCTGGAACAGGTGCTGGTTCCATGGATCCTGGCTAGTGGGAAAGCCTTGGAACTAAACGGTGCTGCAGAGGCTGTGGAAGGGGGCGTGGCCAGCTCACTTTCAGCCTGAGATTAACTTCTTTGTTTTCTTCATTTCTGTCAGAGGAAACTCTGTTTCTCACCTGTTCTTCACTCTAAACTGACTTTGAGCTGCAGCTTGTCATCTGCAGAGGAGGGTTTTCTTTTTGGCAGCATTTTGTTTGTGTTCAGTCTTTCTCAGCCATCTTTAAATGTTTCAGTTCAGTGTTTTTACAGCACAGGTACAGATGTTATGTTTACTCCTTGGTTCATGTCAGTCAGGATGAATCAACATTTAATGCATCAATCAAAACATGCGTCACAAAAAGGAACAACATAGAAGTGGCAGGACCATAACTATGAAAAATGTGACTTATAAATACGGTTTATAAGCCCTGCTAACAGGGCTGGGTGCTCAAACACGTCACCAGTTTGGAGGTATTAATCAGCCTTTTTCTCCTGGTTGTTAACAGGTCAAACAGATAAACTAACTTATTATTATCAATATTGAAACTAGAACAGAAACCGTGTCCAGGTCCTAAAGGGTCAAATGATGAACAATAATAGTTAAAAACTGATCCATCTTCATTTCAAACTGTGCTTCAGTAGATGAGGTCAGAGACGTGGAGGTGGCTCAGATAAATTAACAGAAACACCTCAGATCAAAGTCCAAACATGAGAAATTATCCCAACTCGTCTCCAACAGTTCCAGTCAGATTCCTCCCTGAACTCTGGTTTCTCTCAACGTGTCTTTAATGTGTATGAAGGAGCCACAGTGTTTCTACATGAGAGAAACATGCACATCATGTGAAGAACAGCACTCAGTGAACACTAACTGAGGCTGCAGCTCCTCCACATTTCAAATCTGTTTTTCACCATTTTGTGTTTTAAGAAAGAAGCATTTTTATTTGAAAACAAGTATTTCTTTTTGTTTTTCTGTCTAATCTCAGAAACATGAATGTGTTTTCATGATTAATGACACATTTCCATTACCTCAAAACCATTGTCTAATATACCTCAGATATGCTCCATAAAGCCCTGTAACTAATTAAATGTGACACTTAAACACTTTAATCTCATAGTTTCTTTTGTTTTGTTTTTAGACTTGCAGCAAATTTAAAAACAAATTTAGAAAATGTGTCAAACATTTTTCATTGTCTTGTTCTCTAAAGTCTTCAGAGAAAATAATTTCAGATTAAGTGAAAACAAAGGCTTTTTATTGGTTTTAATAGATGAAAATATATAACTGCCAATGATAAAGTGTCTAAAATAAAAGTAATCACTGAGTAAAAAAAGTACTGCTTTTTGATTTTTTTTTTTGAAAATTATTTTTACAGAGAATAGACAAATAAATATATCATTGAGTGTTTTGAAAAAGTTTATTGTCTATCATGAATAGAAACTGCTAAATTGTGTTAATAAGATAAGTCATATTTATGAGATATAAGCTATCGTTTTGAGAAAGTTATTTTTTCATTAAGTGGCAGAAATGGGCTTCCATAGTCACGGCTTGTTCTCACTTTGCTTTTAGTCTCAGAACTATCATCAGTTTTTAAACACTTGGTCAGCAACTTTAAAGGACAAATTAATATAAAGTGACCAAAATTCAGGGAGAAATGTTATTTATATTGTTTGTTTTTATGACACTGGCCTGTTGTCTGCAGCCGTTACCCACAGGTACTGAGAGGAAAACAACACAAACAGATCCTGACAGTTAAACTTCACACCCTGAAGAATCCAGCAGATACAAAGAAATGCCACAGATACAGTAGAAAACAGCCAGAGGGCCACCCAGCTGCACCATCTTCTGGACTTTATCTGCCTCAGTCCTGACATTATAAAATGTTATCAGCACAAATTATCTTCTTGACCTTAATATACACAAGTGTGACTGAAGCGCCAGCAGCAGCAGCAGACTGCAGCTTTGTGTTTCCACTGGAGCCACTGATTAATATGGATGTGTGGACAGATACCATTTAAACATGTCTGTGAGCCACCAACACCTCTGGTGTTCCCTGGATGTCTTCTTCTGCTCTGTGACTTGTTCTCTTCCTCTGAGGACGAACGGTGCTAGCTTCAGAAAAACTCCCACAAACACTTTTATTTTCCTTCAAATATCAATCATACCAGGAGACCTGTCCCCAAGCAGAAATGAGACGTTCCTCATCATCTTCTGACCTTTCAGAGACATCCAACCTCCACACTAATCTTTCAGGAATAAATAAATAAATAGATAGATAAATAAATAAA